CTGTTCCCCTGGACCCCCCACATCCCCACCCTGGGGTGCAGCACCCCAGCCCCCCCGGCCAGGGCCGTGCCCTCTGGGGGGGGGACAACAGGCTGCCCTGTGGGGACGGGCCCCAGCTTGTCCCCCCTCCATCCCAGCAGCTCCCTGCAGGGTGCAAGCCTGTGCCGGCACTCCTGGCTCTCCCCAGCGTGACGGTGTTGCGCAGCCGGCTCCCCGAGTCACCTGATTGTCACCCTGTTGTCACCGCATCTCATCCCTGCCAGCGGTTGCCGTCACCGGCCGTAACGCGGGTCTCACCTTGCAGAACCGCAACCCCTTGGTGGCCGTCTACTACACCAACCGAGCCCTCTGCTACCTGAAGATGCAGCAGCACGACAAGGCGCTGGCGGACTGCAAGCGAGCCCTGGAGCTGGACGGCCAGTCGGTGAAGGCTCACTTCTTCCTGGGCCAGTGCCAGATGGAGATGGAGAACTACGACGAGGCCATCGCCAACCTGCAGAGAGGTGAGCGGTTACGGCGCCGGTGTTCCGCCGGGAAAGGGCCAGGGATGGTGAGGGGGAAGCCGGTGCCGGCTCTGAGTCGCCCTTTCTCTCCGCAGCCTATAACCTCGCCAAGGAACAGCGGCTGAATTTCGGGGATGACATCCCCAGCGCGCTGCGCATCGCCAAGAAGAAACGCTGGAACAGCATCGAGGAGAAGCGGATCAACCAGGAGAACGAGCTGCACTCCTACCTGACCAAGCTGATCATGGCGGAGAAGGAGAGGTAACGCGGCAGCGGCAGCACCCGTGAGGGCTTTTTTAGTGCCACGAAGCCAGCGCAGCTCTGTGCGCGGTGCCGCTGCCTTCCTGGAGGTGCAGGCAGAGCCCCGCAGCTCGGGCGGCAGCAGGGAAGGGAGCAATAGCGTCCCTCCGTCATTTCTGATCTCTCCCCGCTCTGTCCTAGGGAGCTGGCCGAGTGCCGAAAGACTCAGCAAGCAGGAAGAAAACGCGGACGAGAGCCGGAGCCGAGTTCAGCTGGCCAGCATCGAGGCCAAACACGTGAGCGTGGGGGCCAGGAGGCGAACGGGGCCTTCCTCGTCCCATCCTCATCCCCGTGCTCTGCTGCGGCCAAGGAAGTCGCAGGGCTGCGCTGTGCAGGTGGAAGCCGGGAGACCCCCGGGTGACTTCTCAGCCCTCATTTTGCGGCTCGAGTTGCTGTTGCAGGGCTTTCGTGTCCCCCCTGTGATGGCTGTCCCTGCTCTGTCACCTCTTGTCCCAGCCCGGCAGCGGTGACGCCGGCTTGCACTCCCCCAGCTGCTGTAC